GCATATTGAGTAAATTTGATCAACAGAACTGGGCTTGATCTTTCCTTTTCCGTCCTGGAGGGTCCTTCTACTTGGATCAAGCTTGTCATAGTTATTAAATGCCATTATGAAGACGAAGGTTGCCAAGCTTGGCACAGTCAGTACAGCAAAATCCGTGATATAGCATAATTTTTGTTACTAAATGGAAGGATACGATTTTAGAATTGTGGAAGTACTTTTTCAGATCTCTTTGAGGCATCTCGATGGGGACAGACTTTCTGTATCTGAAAAATATCCCAAATATTTTTGCTATACAGGGAGCCTATACAGTAGATGTTCAGTTTGGCCAAATAGCAGCGCTGTTTTAACTCTTCAAATCAACATGAAATAATCACAGGAAAGTGTTTAAACAGAGATTATTAACACATTTATATGTAAATGGATATTAGCCGCCTAGCTTAATCGTTTCTGCTGATTAAATGGCCTGCATTTGTATAGCGCTTTTCTAGTCCATAGGACCCCAAAGCGCTTTACACTACATTCAGTCATTCACCCATTAAGGACCTTGGACTGTACTTCATACGTTTTTTTGCTCACTGCCGACTTTTGGGCTTTAAATATATTATCTCCCCCTGCTGGCAATGCAACTTCTTCGTGCGTGTCCATTAGTTTTTTTTTTTTCTAATTTCTTGATTAATCAGCGATTATGTAATTCTCTTCCTGAAATATTTCAGTTACCCTAAAAATGCAGGATGTAAAACAAAATGAAAAATATCCATCAGGATGAAATAAATCAGTAAAAACACAAGGAAGCATGCAAGGACTTGAACCATCAGTGGATGTATTCCAGTTGCCCAGCAGCTCCCTGAAGGGTTGTCTACACACGAAGCAATCCACTTGCCCTGCATTACTTTTAATCTGACAGGTGGTCACTAGCAGATATTGCAGGTTCCAGTTGCCTAGGTAACTCTGTGATGTATTTACTACTCAAAGGAAGCTGTGAGCTGTGTAGGAATAAATGTACAATGACATTTCACTTCACTAACTGAGAAGCAAGATTCTTTACACATTTGGCACTGCAGCTAATACTACACAGTAATAATTTGTAAAGAAGTGAAATCTGTGAATATGATGCATCTTTTAAGTAAAACTAATCCAATCACATTTACTAACAAGTTACTTACATTTCAGTAGTGTGTATGATGTAACTGCATCAGTCGTTGGCATCGAACGTTTTTTCAAGGGATGTTTGCTTGACCAACTTTCCCCTTCTCAGAATGCAACTAATGAAAGATAAAATAAAGGATATGAGATATTACGCAATGATAACTTAAATTATTTCAGTTTATTAAAAAAATAAACATTACTCCAGCTTTCAGTGTAAATCGAATTCTCTATGCTTTGAAAACTCTGACATTCTGATGTCACAGGACTGTCAGTTAGGTGGTAACTGGTCTGCAGACTGCTGCTGCTGCTGCTGGTTGATATTTCTTTACTGCTGTTGATGTTTTAAATGGGGGCGGTATAAAAAATCTATATATGACTGGAGGGGGTGTTAACTTGTCCCGAGGCAGAAAACCAGTCGAAAGCTGACCCCACATGATCCATCTGTTCAGGTTAAAAGCTTTAACTGAACCAAACTCATGAGAGATGTTTAACTGTAGACCAGCAGGATTGATTCCCCCCTCAAAACAGGATAGCAATAATAATTAAAAAATATTTTTTAACTTAATCTGTATTTTTAAATATTGCCCACAAAGACTAATATTTTACATTTTACAAAAAATCATTGCCGTCATGTTTATATTTTACATTACGGTGCCAAACATCCAGATTAGCATCATCAGGGTTGCAGATGGGTCGAGGTTAGAGGAAATCAGGGAATAATCTGACTTTTAAACCAAAACATGAGCACAAAAGTATAAGTTAGTATATTAAATATAACTCATATTAAAGCATTACTATCAATAACGGTGTAACCCAAAGTTTTCTTTATTATTTTATTGTGCTTGTAAGTAAACCACTTTTTTGTGTGTGTCAACACACAAATTTAAGTGTTCACCTTAATTAGTCCCAGAATGAGCAGATTTAAAGTGATTGTACAATTTTTTCACACAATATGGCTGCTTTCGAAGCTTTGGTGTGTCATATGTGTTATTAATCTAATAAATGTTGTATAAAAATATTTGAGAAAGCTTTCAGATTCTGCATCAATATGACCGAACACAAGCCCACAAAGTTGATGGACACCACCTCTGTTAAGCAGACCTGGTCATTTCTCCAATATTGTACAGAATTAGAATTAACAGTAAATTGGAAGATGACAGTATAATCGCATGTTAGCAGTTAAGGGGATGATTACCTGATCTGATATCTTTCAAAATGTGTGTGAACAAGCGCATGATGGCACAGGCAACGACAATTTTTGAATACCTAATAAAAAGAGTGGTTGTTGGGGTTTTTTTTGGCTGTGAAGGATTTTTAAACCGTCCTTGAGGATTTTCAACCCAGCAGTCTACTGACAGACTGACTGTGTGCAGCTGAAGGATTTTCAAGAGCATTGTTGTGCTCCACAGGAGGATCTGCAAGGTCACAAAGGAACCCCAAAAGTTTCTAAGAAACTAAAGTTCTCTATAACACAGAGGCTGATATTAACGTCAATGATTCCCCTGTCAGGGGAACAGAATGCACAACAATGGTGTGCATCACAGGGCTGGAAGGAGACAAAGAAATCTGTTGTCCATCTGCAGTTTGCTAAAGATTACATTGACTACTTGTATATGGCTTAAGGGGGTCAATTCAGAAAGCCAAGCATATGCACTGGAGTTCTGCAGTCATATTTATATAGAGTCGCTGCCGTATAATGAAGGACTGACTGTGTACAACACTAATTCTTTACAAGTATATAAATTGAGGGTCTTGTACATTGACAACATTTTTCGATTAAAGTGGGAGAAATATCTCCACAGGGCCTTTATCGGTTTTCCACAGCACACTGAGGAGAATATTGAATTTTTTTTTTCAGCTGCAAGGACAAACTCTGCATGAAGGCCACGCTCAATATAACACGCCGAGAATGTGTGTCTGTGAGAGACGAGCACTTGACTGTCACACACGCACACAGATGAAGGCACTTAAGTTGGCACACTGAGAGGTGACAGTTTGTATAGTCGGACAGAACAGGCCATTACACAGTGATCACACATTTGCAGGATATTTAAGTGAAGCCATTCACTCTATAAGTGTGCCGCATCCTTGGAAACACTTGCAGACCAGTGACAGCAACAACTCTAACACATTTGATGCAGTCGTCTCGGGGGAGAACTGTTAGCTAAGCTCATTATTGCTGGTTTTATTCTTGATTAAGCCCATTAACTAGAAATCCTGTGAACTTTGAATTCCTGTTGATCGCTGTCCAACTTTTTACTCTGATTTCCCTCCCTCAGGCAGCCATTGGTTCCACATCAGTCAGACTGCAGAGACTTGAAACCTGCTGCTGATAGATAATCCATCACAGTCAACACGGAGTCACCTTTTATTTTATTCAGTTATAAGTGCATATTGAAAAGTTTGCACTGCACTGCCAGGCAACAATAACTGAACTCTTGACAGAAACCAAATCAGACACGAGGTTCACTGTGATAGATTAGGTATTTGCAGCCACTTACGACACTGTGCAAGTTGACTCGCACAAAAATGAATGAATGCATCAAAGAGTGCAGAAGAAACACATTAAGCCTCTTAAAGGTATGGCTGGGGAAATGGTTTTCAGCAGTGAAAAAGGTGTGATTTATGTCCTTTCACAGCCTAAATGTGTAGCATTCCTGTTCTCAGAGAAAAGGTCCAAATAAGCTGACCTCTTGTTTGTTGTCTTAGTAAACTGATGGATTTACAATATTAGATTTTGGAGCTAAATTAAGCCGTAATACGGCTGGCAGTTCAAGAAAGTGGTTACATCCACAAGAAAATTGGTTGACAAGTGGATGATTTTCACATGTTTGGGTTTTACATAACTAGTGCTGAGTTGTCAGTCTGTAGCCCATATTCAGCCTCCCCATGAAGAGTGTGCTTTCAGGACATAGTTTTGTAATAAAACCCATAACGCCCCACAGAATGTCTTGCTTCCACGGCTGCTAACAGTGCTGTCAGCTGAAGTGACAATCACACTGGTGCTACCAAAGTGTGGCTCAGGAGTAGTTCAGCCATTTTTACAAGCATTTGTGAGCACATTGCATGCAAATTGCATGTATGCAAGAAACTAACACCAAACTGAAGTGTACTCAGTCACTGACATACTGTTAAAAAATACATATTTGTAACAGAGCAAAAAATAAAGTCCAGGATTATTTATCACCCAAATACTATCTTCATTATTAAGCATTTTTTAAATCAAGTTTGCTGAAACTGGAAAGCAGCATTTTTGTAAAAAGCTGCTTAACTTTCAGTAGGGTTGGTAGCTGCTTTGGATTGTAGGAGGTTAAGTTTTGATCTTTGGGTAATTAACTAAAGCCTAACTGTTTTCTGGTCTGTTGGCAGGCGATGATCATTAGGATGTTTGTTTATGAGAACATGAAGTGCAGAAGCCAGGAATGATTTGGTCACACTACCAACGAAGAAGCACATGTCTACAAAATATTTCAGTAGAATTTGGTGGTATGATCAAACTGATATCTGAACTCGTCACAACATGACTACTGAACGGCTTTCATACACAAGCTTGTGGTCAGTGCTAACAAGCACCTGAGCAACAATGCAGATATCCATCCTTAGTTATTTTGGAACTAGTTTGAGAGAAAAATACAGTGGATCGATCCTGGGGGGGCTTTGGTGTAGCCTCAAGCCTGAAATACATATGTTTGAATCTGCCTCATACATACTTACCCTCAGTGGTGGATCGGTTGGTTCACAATTATAGCTTGATAGCTTTTCTTTAAACTGTATCTACTGTATGTAGTTTTGACACACAATGGTCCATGATTTTATAAAGCTATTAAACTCTGTTTTATTTCTTTATATTTCAGATTTATGAGCAAGATGACCTGTCAGAGCAGATGGCCAGTCTAGAAGGGCTGATGCAGCAACTCAATGCCATAACAGGCTCCGCCTTCTAACATCTGAGCCCGGCCCGGCCCTGAATCACGGCCTAGTCTGGAACCCTTCTTCAAGCCTCGATGTCACCTGTTGTCTGGTCTTTCAAGGCACCAACAGGTCAATCTGGGTTTAAAGATGCCTCTGTGGAATCAGATCTCCGTTTGTGCTGGGTTAAGTCTGTTTGGTTTCTACTGGTCTTGGCTACTATCCACTGGGACCGGGATTGGAAAAAGGAAATTCGAAAGAGGATAAACACTACAGCACACAGCATCAAGAACAGGACCAGTGTTGAGGGGCGTCTTTAGGAGTTTAAACTGAAACCCCTTTAGACCCCTCAACCTCAAACACAAAACTAAAAAAAACCCAATGCCTAGCGCCTCGACTTAATGAAACAGGGGGAAAGGATTATCACAAAAAAAGAAGACAAAATTACAAGATCCCTCCTGTTTCTTTTATTTGTGATATTTATTAGCATCCTTCTCCGCTGAGTTATCTTCAACTCAGTTACTGTGACTGTACCTCACTTATTTTTCATTATCGCCACTCCGTTTTGTCTTTTCTTTTTCTTTGGGTATTCCAACTTTGCGCATTTACGGGATGTGCATATGGTTTGAAAATGCAACACAAACCTAAGTGAGAAATGGAAAATACATCCTCAGCCACCAAAGTTTCAACAAAACGTTTTTTTTTTCATGTGGATTCAAGGTTGTCTGTTATAACAGAGCGAGGTGATTCACTACGACATTTTTTCTCATCGTTTATCTTTTTCTGTCTTACACAAAACAGTATGATTTGACTGAAACACACATCACCCAAGCCCAAGATACCCTTCCACGTTCTGGGTCTTGAGATTAAAATTGTAAAGTCTGGTCTGAATCATCTGGATCTGGATTCTACTAACTTTTTCTTACAGGACTGTATAAAAACCTCTTTAGACTCCCACAGTTGGTTGCTGCTCCTGACCAAGCCTTTACTCTCCCTAACGCAGAAAAGGCCAGTATTTACCCACAAGGACTTGTGTCGTTGCCAAATTCTCATCTCTGAAAGCTTACTGTAACTTTTTTTTGCTAGTTGTTCAAGTCTGACCTAAAAATGGACTTGAAGTGGGTGAAAAAGATAAGATTTGAGGAACAAGGTGGAGCTGGTTTGAGATGATCAATTCCATTGTGGAACAAAGAAATGTCTCCGGTTGAAATACAGCAATTGTTCATGTCAAACGTATGTTCAGTCACTCTAAACATGTTAGTCGCAAAGTGCAGCATCGCCCCCCGGTTGTCTGGAGGACTAAAGAAGGGTTACAGTCTGTGAATATCAGTGCTGTTGGTCTTTGGGACACTAGTTCACGTGTTCACCAAAGATACATTTTGTAGGACACTCACTGAATCATGGTTATTCTATCAAAAACATAATAAGCACTACCAAAATCAAGAAAAGGGTAATTAAGTCATGATCATAAGACAACAGTTTTGACTCTGAGATCACAAAACAATAATTTTGTTTTCTGTCATTAAGTTGTATGCATAATTAGCTTCAAAGCAACCACAGCAGGGCGCTGTGTTGCTCTTGTCAAAAATGGAAGAAAAAGAGATTTGATGTTACCTTTATTATTAATGTTTTTATTGGGGTTGGAGATGATGGGGCAGCCACTGATGACGACTGATGAGACAGATCTCTGTCATTGTTTATTTTTTCACTGTGCCATTTTACAGTGTCTGGCTGGATGTGAGTGTGCTGTATCTGGGCTTGCTTTTGATGAATCCATATTTATTTTTCATGAGACAAACACGAGTGTACCTCTGCCGACCTTGATCAACCACCTGGAACAATGGCAAAACCGTCAGCTTCACTTAGAGTTTTCTTCAGGTGGTTCTGTTTTTATACAAAAAACGATAAGAGAAAATGTGACAAAAAGATCAACACAAATAATGCATAATCCACAAAGTATATTTTTACATTTGATGTCCTGTCAGAGCTGAGTTTTTTTAAGTCAGGTTTTTTTAACCACATTTCTGCAGAGAGCTACTTTAACCACAGTGAAATATGATAGCCTCCAGCCTTTGAACATGTCAGACATTTAGTTTAATTCAAAAATTCTTTGTTAACTGGTACAAAGAAGCCCTTTTGTGCCATTTGTAGTTTTAATAGAAGCCGTTTAAGAAAAGGTTGACTGAGGAAACAAATTGCAAAGAGGGAATTTAAACCTGAAGCAACTGCATTCAAGGTGTCCTCTGTAGCATCAGTGCAAAGCATATGTACCTCCCTGTTCTTTAAAACAACTGCATTTGCATTGACAGCAGGCCAGAGAACCTGATTTTGAAAATTTGATGGAGGTGAGATGGGTGGGGATGTTTTTGTTTCTCTTTCTGAAAGAGAAATCATATTTGTGAAAAGCGGCATTAGGACAGTGAAGAAGGTGTACACTGTAAAAAAAAAAAAATCCTAACAAATTGATCTGCGCTGGAGTTTTTGTGAAGGTCTCACTTCTTTCTTTGCTGCTGCAGCAATCTGTTTTTCTAAATATCACCCCCTCATTCTTGCAACATAATTGGAAGTATGTGGAACTACACCACCTGTAACAGTCACATTTGACCACCTGGCTAAACGACTGGTAAGGATAGTCATTTTGTCTGCCTGCAGAAAACCAGGAATTCAAAATGACAAATGATTCATTAATCAGTAGGGAGAAAAAAAAAACAGGCAATCAGTATGCTCTGTATTTGACTCCATCACCCCAGTCTCCATATTGTAATTTACAGACCTTTATCTTTCTGTGATAAAAGGAAAAAGCCTGAGGGAGACAGAGAGAGGCAGAGCCATGAATTGATATTCAGGGGTGGTTTGTATGTGCGAGTTAGGGCACAGAGGAATGAGCCCGTGAATTCATTATAACGTAGTTTCAAATATTATGATTCAAGCTCACGCTCGCTGGGCCGTTACGCCGGCGGAGAAAAGTCCCGGGCACGGAAGGGATGGAAAGGTAACATCTCGGTAGTGCGAGCGCGGGTATGAAAAGCGAGCGAACGCTGGCAGGCAGGCGGTGAGGGGATCAAACTCATCAGCCTGTTCTCGGAGAAAAATCCCCATTTCACTCTGCTCTTCCTCCCCTCCCCTCCTCTCTGCAGAGCAGAGCTTTGTAGAGACGGAACAATCCTGTGCTGTGGGGTCAGACTAAAATTTGATTATAAAAAAATAAGAAAATCAGATTCAACAATAAATTCTGAATCGAATGGCCTGTTGACACAAGGCATTTCAAAAAGGAAAGAAAAGAAGGAATGATTAAAGTTAACTGCTCTTACTGGTGAATTTGCACATTTTAGCCCATTAAATGTGAATCACATCTTCTTTTCCAATTATCATCCATCCAGCTGGACCTTTCTGGCAGACGTTTGTTTGTTTCATTTGTGAAAGTCAGCTTGCACACATTGTTTCCAGACCTTCGTATCACTGCCAACTTGTCAGGTTTTGATCCAGTGACTCAGATGATGTGTCAGTGGAAATGGAAGCAACTGCACAGGTTACTTTAAGTCAACTTACAGAACAGCTCTTAAATCAAAAAGTAAAAAAATAATTAAGTTGAGCAGTACTAGGAGTCTTTAAACTGGTGGATCCATCAGCCAGCCATCACACTTTGCATTTGAGCAACTTTATTTTAGTCAGTGTTGCAGAATTGATCTGTATTTCATAACTGTTTCTTCTGAGTTTCCTAGAAATGGCTTGTAATTTCAGCTGTTTCCGTAATAGACCACATGCAAAAGATAGACACTGAAGTTGTCTCTCGTTTTAAGTCATCACGCTCATCACTTAAGCCACTGTGATCTCAGTTTTTGAAAACAAGGAGCAGTAGGAATTCGCCACTACCTACAGCATGTGCTACTTTAATGTCTATTTACACTGAATTGGACCCAAACTTACAAAATCAACACCAAGCTATATAAAACAAAATACAAAACTAGTGGCTGATTTCAAAACCTCTTTAGAAAAGCGTTTACTGAGGTTTTCAAGTGCGAAGTTGGGCAAAGGTCAGAGTTTGATGGCCATTAGAACAAAAAAAAGCAGGTTTAAGGCACTTAGTTTTCACTTTTCAACCTATAAGAAACATCCATCTTTTATGTCTACTCTTTGGTTTCCAACTGCCATTAGTTTTGTATATTTTCAATTCGTAGACCGCCCATAAGTCCAAATCAGGTCAAAGTGCTTGCTCAAATTATATTTTGACTAATCTGATCAAGAATACTTCAGTTACATAACGATGGGTTTGTCTCCAGATGTCTGTCTGATGCCCTGCTATACTTTATGCACAAGGTATCAGGCCTACAAAAGCCCCTCCACTTTGAAGTCTCTACTATTTGAAATTCATAAACTTGAGCTGAAACCAATGGATGCCTGGAAGGAAGGAAATCAGTCTAAAAACTGATGCAGGATCTCGGAAATAATCAGTTGGGCTGAAACCTTTGAACATTTTTAGGCACGAGCTAATTCATGAAACACCTGTACACTCTGTAGCGTTTACATAGGACATTTGGTAACTCTTAGAAGGAGAAATCAGTTGGACTCAGATAAAACACTTCAAAGTAGCACGGATAAGCAGCTGATTAAACCTTTAAATAGGTGTTTTTCCCCTCAGCTGTCAAAAATCCGACTTTATACCAATGATGTGACTTGAAATGTTCTTTAAAGAGAACACCTAACTTTTTTATCCTCAGTCATTCGCCTTCATGAGTTTTTGTCATCGTTGAGATAAATAAGACATTCTCTGTAGCTATACTTTTCACTTCAGTGTTATTTTTCTTTCTCCATATTTAGTCACTTTATTTGAAGTCTTTGTGAAATGTTAAAATGGGCTCTGTGTTATGTTAATTTGTTCCTCCTGTAAAGTCGACACACTGGGACCAGATGAGACGGGGCTGTTCTGCTGAGGACTTATCCCAAAAGCCCCGTGTCCCTTTAAAGGGAGAAACTAAAAAAGAAAAGTTGTTTTTGTTTGTTTTTTTACTTTGGCAGCGCAGATGCAGCCTTTCAGCACCTGCCGGGAAACACAGACACATCAGATGTACTACATCCAGTGATGGCAGGGATCGTCCTGTACTTGAAATATCAAAGCTTGGATCCACAGAACGGCAAACGTGTCTATCAAAATGTTCCAGTGCAAGATGCTGTACCCCCAAATGGCTCACTCGGTGACTCATAATGCAGAAAGCGTTCATCAAAACAAACCATTTCCTCTCAGACTCAACCTAAATGTTCTTTTATTTCAGCAACAAAGATCATTTTATGGAAATCCGCCTACTTAACTTAGAACAGTGTAATGAGCTGATTTTTCTTTTTTTTCTTTTCTTTTTTTTTGCTTATTCAGAGATTTTTTTTCCCTTCAGTAACCAAGCTTTAAGATCCACGGCCTTTGCTGTGCAGTGATGTTTGCCTTAATACCTGACAAATTACCTGTATTGGCTGACCTTTAGTTATAGGAACTAAGAAACTTGGGGGGAGAAATTCTGCCTGTATTCTCCCAATACTTGCAAGGAAATTAGTTTAATTTACGTTATCGGCATGTAACAGCTGTAGGACCGTCCTGTACTCTACCTGTTTTTTCATTTTTCAGATTTCAGACTTATTTTACTTTACAACTTTTTTTTTACTTTGTTTGCCTGGTTTCTGTTGATTTCTAGTGTGAAATCAGCTCTTTGAGAATTGACTATACAATCATGACCAAAATCTTTGGCCATGACTGTAGGACTCTGATCCAAATATAGAAAATACATCAATATTATTCAGGGGGACCAAAATGTCAGCATGTCTACACATCACGGTGGACCTAAAATTACATTAGATTGAGGCAGATAGGTTGGCCTCTAGTATTTGACTACAGACAATTGAAGCTCCCCTCCTGCAAATATCAGCTAGAGTGGAGGCATTGTCAGACTGTGGATGGGGACAAGTGGCAATTCTTTCTGATGCCAGGCTGCTTTAGCGCTATTTTGAGCTAAATCTCTTCCTAAAGTTTATTTTTATCTCTAAAGCCAACCAAACATAGGTTTAAAAAAATCAGTTTTTATGTTCCGGTTATATTTCAAATGTATCAACATTGTT